CGGTGTTTATCAATACTTAGCTTTCAGGCTGAAATTTCCAATAATATCTATTCCAACGTTTACCTAAAGGTTAAGCATGTCTGTCTCGAGGCAAGTTAGTGGTTGTGATTTTCAGTGTTGCCGTCTTACCCACTGGATTTATGGAAAGTCAGTCATATTTCAACTGTGGAAGTCGAGCAGCGCAATTTCATCCCGTAGTAATTGTTGTTTCTCCTTTGAATGCACTCGATCAAGTTGATGCAAAAAAAACATAAGAATGTCTCTAGGAAAACGTATAGCTTTCTCAAAGTAAAGCTACGGCAGTCTCTGAAGAAAAGCTGGACGAAGATAAATATGATATTCGTGCAGCGCACTGTGCTTGAAAACAGTTCTAATCGACTAGCTGGGCCTGGCGTCACCTGCGGCGTCACAATATAGAATGCAAGTAAGTAATACGTTCACGGAATATTTTAATCTTTGTCCCTGAAGAGCCATTACTTAGAGCCTTAAAACATGACTTGCAATAGAAACAAACCTAAACAAAGTATAGGCACGGCATGGCAAATTACAGGTGTCAAACTCTGAGAAGTGACGTGCAGTTAACAGCGGAAACCATGCAGACCTGCGACCTCTAAAAATATGCTGTAACACAATCGAACGACTCCACTCTACTTATAATTTCCATTTCTTCTAATAACACGACATAAAAAGTCCCCCTCAGACACACGTGTGAAGCAAAGAAAGGTCGAGAGATCGAAAATTAAATGAGAATGTGCACAACTGTTGGAGTCATGTACACTTATTTATTAATGACACAATAAAAATTATATTTTTCTTTTTCTAGCCCCCTTTTGGTCAAAGATAAATCCAGTTTATCGGCAACAATGGTGAAATGCATACCGCGACGAGTTCATTGTATTATCCTTCATGCTCTGCAAAGTTCGGGGTGCTGACGGCGCGGTGAAACTTCAATAAATCTTTTCACCCTTTGGCTCCTTTCGAAGTAACTTTGGCTTTCAGTGATCAATTAAAAGGCCCTGAATTCTCTAAAATTATTTAATCGCCGTTCACAAGACCTACACTTCGTTCTAAAGATGAGTCAAAGATCTTCCATACACAGTCTTGGCCGCAGTGTGCAATTCTCCATTTGCATTCTTGAGGAGATTTTTACAATATGTAACGTCCTTCACTGAATCATACAACCTTCAACAACTTGAATTTCCACTATCAGATGATGGATAAGTTTCCTCGGCATTTGCAGAGTATTACTGCCGGATCAACATTGACGCAGAACATCATATTGTTCTTGGTTTACTTTGGTGACAACACATACCGCACTCCTGTAGGCTGAGTATAGACAAAATTCCTACTAGGCTGCCCATCCCTTCAATAATTTAATTGCCATCTCCCAGATTCTGGGAGCCACGTGACCAGACCCAACCAGGGTCTCCTCGCTCGCTCCAGGGGGCGGT